TCGTGCTGACCATACTTCAAAAATATTAATTTCCACCAACAGTAGAGAATCTGCAACGAGAACCCATCTCAGGAGGTATGACATTCTTTGAAGCACACTCTTCTCATTAATGTGGACTTGGCCTCAAAGGCTGAGCACACCCAGCCTCAGCATGTGTAAACCTCCTTGTTCTCAGTGCTAAAATTGACTTGGACTGTGACCAATTCGCCCATGCATTCGAACGCATCCCCAGCTAGTCTGCGTTCTGGCTGCCATCCCAAGTTTCAGTTGTCACAAAATGCCAACTGAGCATGCTTACATGCACCACTTCCACTTTATTCCAATTAATTTTACAAGCAAATGCACTAGGTAGCCCTCAGAGATTATAAGCAGATTCTTACTGTGTTGAATCAAAGACTAGAGCTGTTAGTGCAAGGCCAAACCACGTGTCTTCCCTGGCCTGTCAGGTGCCCACACTGCTCTCTGGCTAGTCTATATAATTTAAAGTGCTTCAGACTAGGTGAAGTAGCGGAGACTAAAGGGGTAGCCTTGCCTCGCACATCTGCACAATGGAAAGCAACGCTACTGTGACCACAACGGCCTTCCAGATGAATTCCTCATGGGAGAGACTTTTGCTGTCCAAGCCAAATTCAATGTACTTGCAGAATAGGTACCTAGAAAGATGTCAGAAAGCATGTTTCTTTGTCTCTCTTGAGGTTAGTATGTCATCAGATCACATGTAAAAATAAAGTAATTTCCTTGCCCATGAGGTAAACAATAACTCAGCAGTTTTTTAACAGCTTAATATTTTGATGCCACACGGCTTGGCTCTTTATGGGGTTTACCCGCCTGGGGAGCTTCTTTTAAAGCATGCAGGAACATCGCAGTGCTCCTTGGTTTACAGTAGCTAAACGCTTTTCAACAGACTTCAGTGTTAATCTGCTGATAAAATACACTCCCATTTATGTTGGAGAAGATAGGTCAAGAAAAAATATGCATTCCATTTGAATTGAGAGGTGATAAAATTAATGACACACTGTTTTGGGGAAGGATATTAATTTCAGTCTTGGACCAGACGCTTGCAAAATCTGATGTGCTGCATCCCTGTTACAGAGTGTTACTGCACTAGAAAAGCATAGCTCTCAACCACCACCTTTCTCCCTTCAGTTTAGGCAGTCTTTAGTTATTCTGGGCCCAGGGCTTTGCAGACTTTGAAGCTACGGGCAGAAAACTTTAAACTAATTAGAAATTCTAGGGATAAGATGGGGAGGTTACGATGGCCTGCACAGCCTCTGTGGCTGAGGAGATCCATCGCAATGCTGCCATGTCTGAAGGTCCAAGTGTAAAACCTTGTGCTGACCAGCTAAGTGGTGATAAATGTGTGAATGACCAATGTCATTTGGTCCTGTCTTAGGACCTAAAAAAAAAAAAAAAAAAAAAAAAGAGAGAGAGAGAGAGAAGTAGACAAGTTAAAACAACTGATACACAATTAATAGGAAAATATGCATGTGTGGGTCTAAAAGTATACTGCTTATAGTCAGACTGAATTTTGGTTCAAAAGTTTTCCATTTAAAAGAGACTAATAGCTGTGTCCCCAAGTACTAGTTAAATGTTTTTAAAAAAAACACATGTAAATGAGATACTTTGTATGAAAATGTGTTCATTATGGAATCCAGAAGTATGTTAAATCATTTGGAAATGAGACAATGCACATGTGATTTCCCAACATGAATGCCATTTCAAGAACAAATATAGAACATTCTGTCTTGTCATTCCTTTCCTAACAATAGCTAAAATTAATTTTTAAGTTTAGCCATTACACAAAGCATTAGTTAGTTAAAAAATCAGAGGTATTGAAACTACCTGATAACTCATTATTCTAAATTGAAGGGCCCAAGAGCAAAGTCCCCGATCTAGATGACTGGGCTGTACAGTAGATATCTGCAGCCATTAGCACTGTTTTTACTACCAGAATGCTACTGAACGTAACACTACTAGAGTGGCCTTTTAAGGAACTCAGGGCAGTAACACAAAAGCAACTGGTGCTGTTCACTGGACAACACCTTTTTCAAAATACACCAAACTCTTTGAGCTTACGCACTTTCCTGTAACACCCTACACCACTTCCAGGCAAGGAATTTGCCTCTCCTCTTCTGTGAGGCATGGCCAAATGCTCTTCTGGTTGTCTCATCTGAAGCAGAACAGTTCTGCCGGGAAGCCAGATGCAGCATTTCCTTTGGCTTCCCCTATGGGGAAGACGAGTGAGGTGAGATAGTCACTGCCTCTGTTGATGTCTGCACCATTTTCTCCAGTCTGGTTAGAAAGAAGTAGGTTGTCACCCTTCTAAGTCTGCCTGCATCTCTCCTTCACTGTGTGCATGCCTGCGTTACGAGTAAATCAGGCTGCCTGCTCTGCAAAAACCAGCAAGGAATTTCCCAAAAACTGGGCTGGTTAAGGTTGGGCAGATTTTGTAGCTTTTCTTCCCGCATCAATTATAATATTGGAAAAAGAAAATCCCACAACTGAAACATATTTTTCTGGATAACCAAGTCCACTGTAATCCCATTCAAGGGCCATTACTAGGTGGTGAAATTTTGAATTTTAGATGTGTAAGTCAAAGTCTCAGTAAAAAAGGCAGAGATACAAGCACCCTGGGAGCGCAGCGAATGAACTGCTGCTTCTCTTCCTAACACAGTCTCTCAATGAGTATTAAGTGGTATCTCCACACAGTAAATGAATGACTGGGACCTCTGCCTACACACTGTACAGGGAACATACCTGGATATACCTGCTGGTTAAGTAAAGTTATCGACTATGATTTAAACCTATTTTCATAAGTCAGTGACATTTTCCATCTGGTATCAGAGGCTGGGATTAGTTTGAAAAACCAGCAAACATACGCAAATTGTGAGTGTGTTGTGGAAATAAAGAACTATCCCAAATGCCAAACTCCTGTTGCAGTATCTCAGCTTTCAAAGATCACAGTGAGTTTAAAAAACATATTTTTATGCTTTATCTGCTTTGCTTGAAAGTAATACTATGACTGCCATAATTATTAAAAATAAGGGGTAAAAACATATGCACTGACTACATTGTATAGTCTGATTCAATGCTTATAATCAACTTCTTTTGTGAGAGACTGAGACAGGAAAGAAAATAAAGATCAGAAGGAAAGTCATAATTTGGACTTTGCCAAGTAGAAATATAGAGACCAGAAGAATTTCAAGATAGCTGTACTCCCCAAAGCTATTTAATTCTTCTTTTGAATGTACTATGATTCCATTTATAATCTGCTAAGAAACTGTATTAAATAATACTTTCTGGTTACAATAACTTCAGATTTTTCTCAATGGAGAATTCTGAAGACAAAATTTGAAGCAAGACAAAAAACAAAACAGAGACATTCAGGCTCAGGTATTTAATTAGCTCCCAATAAGCTTATGTATTTATAACTAAATCTGTCCAACTGTATCAAAGTTTCTCTGGAAATTTTATACTACAGCTGTGCATTCATGCAGAATAAAGATCCTTTTTCTTTCACTGTCATGGCAGTTAAGTCTCAACTGAAATAGATTTTGAGGAGCAGACAACCCTATTAATCCTAGCTATTTTAATCCGGTGACTGATGAAAAGATTCAAGAAAGGAGATGGTTGTTAGTCAGTCAAACAATTTTTAACCGAACTCTGGATGTGTACTGAGGGAGCAAAACCTTTATGCATCAGAAGACAGTTTCTGTTTATGCCTAGTAAATATTAAAGGTGTTAGCAATACCGCCACTTCCATTTTTTCCCCAGGCAGGTGAAAAAGTAAAGCACATGAGCTGGACCAACTCTTTGTAGAAACCGCTGCTGATAGGTTTATAAAGTAGAGCCCTGTATAAATTTCTTATTGAATGCTTCCAACATGAGCAGTCACTGCCTCGTGCCTCATTACCCATTTTCAGTTTACAGCTGAAAGCAAGTTTGTGGTGAGAAAAATATCCTTCAGCTGCACCACCCAATGCATGCAACGCAAGTAGCGCTGCTGATGTAAGCAGTGCCTTACAGGAACAGACGGAGATAATCCATCTGTACTCTCCCCTTCCTTCGCCCTGGTTATCAGCTGCTTCTACTGTGTTTTCAGTAGGCTCAGGACTTTCCCCCTCTCTGTTTTCAGTCTCCTTTGGACTCGTCCAGGCTACAGAATATCTTGTCTCTGTGCTGACTATAGGCTGAAGAGGAGATGGCAGCTGCCAAAGACTCGACATGGGATGGAGGCACGCTGCAGTGGCAGGATTCAGGGGAAAACGGCCAGAAGAGAGCAGGAATTTACCTGCCCCTTTCATTGACGAGATGTATTTGTCATTTGGTCTGCAATCCAGTGAAACTTTTAACCCAGTTGGAAGACCATACTTTAAGAATGTTTCTTCTGGCCTGCATCTACGCCATTTCTTTCTGGAAGTGGACCTAAGCAAAATAATCCTTGCCTTTGTCACCTCAATGACAGTAATTACATCTCAAACCAACTCAGAGTAAGCTGATGTTACTGCAACAGCACCACTTAGTTTAAGGTATCAATTTCTGTTTGGAAAGCCATCTTTCCTCATATGGCAATACAGATTTTTTTTCTGAGTTTTTCATATATAGAAGAGAGGTACTTTGAAACCGAGGCTTATAGAAACTAAATAACAGAGTGACTACACAGTAATGAAATACATTAATTGCATAGATTTCATCAGGAGATTCGGAAGTGACAAACGTTTTTCTTTCCCAAGTAGAAAGTAGTTGACAAAGCACACACTTTCATTTAATTAAAGCACTAATACTGATGCTTATATACTTATTAGTAACTCTGAAAAAATAACAAAGTTCACGGGAAATATGACAATGTTTTTGTAAAGAAAAATGTACTTCTATTTCATACCTGAAATACTGTATCGTCTCCGGCTGTTTTCAAATCATCTTCCTTCCCAATGATTTTCTGCAGCTGTATTTGTTAAAACATGAAAAAAAACACAGGGAAATTACAAATTCAGTCTTACAAGAGTCTCTTTTTTCAGAAACTTGCATTAAATTCACCTTTTCTTAATTACGCAGTCACTACATTTCTGCAAGGTTCCCTAGTCATGACAAAACATTCGCATACTTAAGTAGATTTTGCTATTCAGACACACTGTTTCTCAAGAATGCATTCTCTACCGTGGTTAATACAGCCAAGCAGAGCATATGAATCTCTCTCTTGCAGCCCAGCACTTACTCTAATTTTAGGGGAGATTTTCTTGCACTAGGAGCTTAGCATTCACTCCATAAGATTTTGAAACTCAGGGGTATAACATCAAGGGTCATTTGGGAAATAACAATTATCCTGTGATTTTCATGCTGTCCTCCTAGAGAGAGCTTTGCATAGTCCTGCTACAGACATAGAATCATAGAATCATAGAATCATTATGGTTGGAAGAGACCTCAAAGATCATCAAGTCCAACCGTACACCTGATGCCACCCTGTCCACTAAACCATGTCTTGAAGTGCCACATCTAGACGTTTTTTGAACGTCTCCAGGGACGATGACTCCACCACCTCCCTGGGGAGCCTGTTCCAATGCCTAACAACTCTAATGGTGAAGAAGTTCTTTCTAACGTCCAGCCTGAACCTCCCCTGACGCAACTTGAGACATGGTCTTCTAGACATGAAAAACATACCTGTTCAAATGAGGTACTATACAACTAACAATACAGAATATTTTAATTCAATAAGCAAATGTATTTTCGCAACTGGTATTAAGCAGAATGCGGTTTGAGTTTCCCCTCCACCCCACAAATAAATGAATCTTGACTGTGTTAGCTCAGAAGATTTTTAGAAGTACTGAAATGACTCACATGTAGAAACGTAACTTCCCCTGTCCCAAGTAGAGATTTAAGGTAATATAGAAAGTGCCTTAATTTGCAGCACCTCAAACGTATCTCAGCTGAAAGGTTTCTTTGACTGTATTTTAGATTGGGAGGTCAACACTGCCACAAGAATGAGTGATTTAACACAGCACAAGGTGTACCTACCTTTCACAGACATTTGCATGAATCCTCAGAAGGACAGCAAAAATGAAAGAATAAGGGACTTATTACATTTCAGGTATAGACATGGACTTACATCGATCACTCTGGATTTGGAGACTTTCGGAAAGATGCTTTTAAAGCTCAAGGCTTTTGAAGCTGCTGGTTTGCTTCTCAAGTATTTCTGAGTGATTTCTCAGCCTGCCCATTAAAAGTGGGCAAAAACCCCATGACCAAATTTGCACAGCCATTATTTTGTGGGGTTTTCAAATCTCTTCTTAGGGCTTTATTTTTTCCCTTTTTTTGTCCTGTTCTTCAGAGAAGCAATATGGGCTTGTAAGTAGTGAGCAGGAAAAAACCTGCTAACTGTTCGTGTTGCCAAAGGTCTTCCCTTAGCCTTCAAATTTTGACTAATTCACCTGTTCTGCTTTTTCATAGCCTTGTTTTTTGAATTCCTTAGGATAGTTACTTTCTATTATTACTTTTGAATGGAATGCCTTGACAGTATTTATCAAAATAAATACTGTAAAACAAGACGATTAAACAGTACCAGTTCTTCCAAGTTTCTCCAAATTCTTTCTATTTTTGACCACTTACAAAACAACTGACTAGTACAGTAAAAGCATTATGACTTTCTTCATAGCAAAATAGCAATATAGAGCTCTGGATAAAACCACAACTGCTTGTCCATATTCTCACTGAGAAATTACATTTTTTCTTACCTGAAAAACCTATCTTTTGCTCATGCACAAGAAATACAACTGCAAATACTTTCCAAACAAGACAAAATCTTGGTTTTTCTTTCGGATTTTATTTTTCAATGACTCTTAAAAAAAAAAATCTGCAGAGATTACTAAAGAGCACAGACACACAGTGTAATTTTTTTTTCCACAAGAGTACTGGGAGATTTAGTTTATTGTTTTCTTACTCTGTATGTAAATCCTTATAGTGCTTGAAACTATTTCCAGTAGTTTGCAGATTTTTTTCCAGCACAATGTAGCAACTACTCACACAGGGAGAAGAATTCTGCGCTGGAGAAATGGACCCTAATACTCAACTGCTCCATGTAACATTTATCTGTATTTAATATTTATATCTGTTCATCACTGCAAGACACTAATGGCTAATTCAAAGATACTGAGAACTATTATGCACAACTGATGACTCTCTATTACAGACATACTAAGAAGTCATCTTGCCTGAAGACGACAAGAGCTGGCAGAAAGGCTATGTCAGCCTTAAAAAAAACAAACCACCAAACAAAAAACCCGTGATTTTGCATCTTCCAGTTGTCTCAGAGAGATCAGTGCCTGGGGATGCTGCAGGACTGCAGAGAGGTTCTGTACCAAAGCCCCACAACTGCTGACAGTGTCGGGTGGTCGGGTGCTGGTTCGTTCAGCCCTAGATGAAACTCTGCAAATTTTTGTGTGCTGTCCGCTGTCGAGGACAAGTGTACAAAGACAGTCTATTTAGAAAGTCTAAATCACATAGCTCTTGCACGTGCCATCAGAGTTACCTTACCTCCATTCCCACTAGTTTTGAACTGTCATTAATTTTACTTGGAAATCTTTCGTCAGGACGGAGTTAGGGAAATTCCTCACTTGCTGGGGATTTTGGGATCTTGGGTAGCCTTATTCTTGATGGGAGGTCTCAGGTTAATGTGCATGGGTTATTACGTGCACACGTCTGGAAATCCCCCTCACCAAGTCTCATGTGAATGTCTTGGAAGCGCAGAGTTCACAGAATTATCTTGCTGTCCTCACAAAGATGGAGATAATATAGCTCTGAGAAACAACTCTTTGCACTCTTGCAGGGGCTGATTAAAGGATGGCATGCCATTTTTGCCACCGCTTCTCCACCCCAGAGTTGCAGGGCAAAGCAACAAGTCCTTACAGATGCCCACCTCAAAATACAGATTGCTGTGATTTTGGGGCCTAATGCTGAAATGCCTCTTGTATTGTGAATGCTTACCACTGCAACACGGATGAAGCAGAAATTAAAAACACACTGGCTTGAATACAAAGAATTAGGAAGGAGAGAGAACCAGAGTCCATCCCTGGGAAGGGACAGACTTTTAACTCCTACAGGGAAGGAGGAAAATGTGCACAGAAATGGAAAGGCTATGGAGGACAAGATAAAATCTCTCTTTGAAGACATGGACTTGCATTCAAGATCTCCTTTCCTGAACATTCAGTTATGTTTACCGAAGAGCACTGAACCTACTGGGAAATCCTGTGTCCGGCACTCCCTCAGTGCCCGACCCACACAAGTCTGAACAGCCTACCTCCATCTCCATCACGTGCAGCAGGCACCAAGGACTTGGGCTGTAGAGTCTGCCTGTCACCCTTCTCCCTTCCCTGAGCGATTCACGTGACACATCTCGTGCCTGTTAATCCACTAACATGCGAGAGTTGAGACATACGCAATTCAAAGAATGATGGACATTTTGCAAACAAAAAGGCAAAGTTTTTACCTCAAAGAATTTGCAGTCTAGATCAACAGATAACGCAGATGTACACAGACGTCTAATCAGTAGGTAATGGATGGGAAGCAGGGAGAAGAAGAGGTGACAAAGCGAGAGAATGAAGTAGCACTGAAATTTCTTTTCTGATCACATTCTGCTTACAGTAACTGCCTCCTAATCACTGCTTCTTCTCTGTGCTTTTCCACTGCCCTTTCCTTACATATGTTTCCTGATATTATTGTCAAATATAGCCTGGAAATAACAATAGAATAGTTCAGATGTGTTTTCCTGAGGTGCCAACTGGGCCAAGACAAATGACAGATTAGCCGCACAACTTACTAATTTATTAGATATACAGAAGCTTTCTATGATGCATACAGAACTAGAGTATACAGAGATTAATGCACGTACATTTTTCCAGATTCTTACAGCCCCAAACTTTTATTTTTAAACCTAACCTATAAAAATCAAGTTTTACTTTAAGAGAGTCACCACTTCTAAATGTTAAGTAAACAGTCACGTGAGAAAATGCATCTTTTGACTAGCTTGCATCCTGTGGGACTTCTTTGAATTTAATGATTCTTGTCAGTTGACATAGCAATTTATGGTTTTTTTACCACTCTATATTAATTTATCAATACAGCTCATAAAGGAAATGCAAAGTAACAATCTATCTAACTAGAATAATTTTGATTTAATTTGTTTGCCTCTACAGAAATCAAATTATTTTTAATGATTTGTCTAATGTTTTCACCTCTACTTTTGATGACTATCTGTTGTTCATGCTGGCTGATTCAATTAGAATTACCTGAAATGGGTAATGGATATTAAATATATGACATACTGTACATCTCCCCAAGAGAGCTGTGCTGTATTTCTGCACGAATCTCCTTATCTGCTTCCCTGACCCAGTACCTATGTAAAGGAAGTACTGCTAACACGGCACTTTGGGGCAGAGGCACTACAGGCTGAACGCGGTCCCTTGTGTTCATGGACTTACTCTCCCCTGTAACACGCTGGTTTGCAGATGAACAATACAGCCGTAACAGACATATTTCGGTGATCAGGGCACTGCTACTCTGATAAAAATTCACTAGGATTGTACTGGGTTTAGCAGGTTAAAAATACAGGCTTTAGTTAGCAGCTGATTTCTTTTTAATCAGCAGAATAATTAACATTTTAGCAGAGCAAATTCTTCAAGCTTAAAAGATTCTGTGTATCAACGAGTGTGGGGTATCTGCAGGCTCAGCTACGGGCTTCTGGGAACACTGTCTTGGCAAACAGTCTAATTTCAAGTATTATTTTCAAATAGTACTACGAAGTCTAAAAGTATTTTTACAATATTTTAAAATACATTTAAGTATGACTCATCAATTGTAATCCTGCTGAGAGATAATTCACTGAAAAAATGGCTTGATCAGTGCAAAACACATGCGTACAGCTACTGTATCATTAATTCAGAGTTTAAGGCTATGAAAATACACTTAAATAAATTTTTGGTAATTTCTCTATCAGCAGGTGCATCTTTATAGATTCTATGGTTCTCTAGAGTTGTCGCATTAATGATCATCTTTAACTTAACCCTAGTGACAGAAAATAATTTGCATTGCAGTAGCTATTTCAAGTTCTTATAAAATTGTTTCTCTAGTCACCTCCAATATGAATGAAGGACCTGAATTAAGCTGAGGAAGTCTATTAAAAATTACATTTGCTAATTTTGCATGTGACTTCCGACAAGAAGTATTTAGTCAACAGTCTCCCGTTAAATACTTAGAAGTTGAATAAGCTATATAATTAAGCCTGTTCTTCTTTAAAACATCAGAGAAAGATTTTCTTCATTTAAGGATCTGCCTTTCTCTCTCATATTTTATACAAAATATGGGAAAAACTGCTGCTACTCTCCAAAGTGTGAATTGGTAAAAGACCTGTGCAACAGCAAACAAAATTCATAAAAACCAAGAGAGGTTGGTGAATTAAAAAAATTATTCAAAATATTTAGAAAATAAAAGACTTTTCCAGATTATTTAAATTGGCTCATGGGATTAAGGGACGTGCATCAAGTCCTACCTTCCCAGCAACAGACTTTTAGATACAAGTCAAAGGTAACATTTATAAAAGTGGATTCAAATACGATAAGTACTTCTATAGCAATGCTTTGGTACGTGCTGCTTTCATATAAAGTACTTTAGTAAGGATGTGATCATAGATTGGACTGAAAACCAGGCTTGAAGATTTTAATGAATCTGTAAATGCTTTAAAATTAATATGCCTATAAATACACATACCTTAAAGAATTCTTTCTTTTCAACTTGTTCATTGCCATCTGCATCCAACATTTTAAAGGCAATCTGAAATCCAGTCTGGGGTTCTGCCACAAATTGCAAAAGAACTTTATTGTAAATACAGACACGTACACACTTACACTAGTACTTAAATATTTAATGCAAAAGGAATATTGCCTATTCTCCATTGTTATGCATGTCCACGATACTACCAGTAAACCACACATACCTCCTCCAATATAAGCAAACTTTTAAAACACCTTTTTACTACCATTTCAAGGGATAATTAATGCAAAGGCAAAGCAAGAAATGCCAGCAGTGCCTAAGTAAGCCACAAATGTCCATTGGATCCCAATGACTGTGAAAACGTTGTCTGTCCTACTGTCCTGGTCTCGGATGTTCTCTGTAGCTCTTCCCATAATCCCATTTCACTTCTGAAGTCTAGCTCTGAAGTCTTGCTTTCCTTTTCAGGTGAGAAGACTGGAAAGTGCCTTGAGAAACCAATAATTACTCCCCAACTGGCTGAAAGAGCTAGTGTACTCCTCAGGCACTTCTTGCACGCATCCCTGTTCGCCAGTATTTGCAGTCTTCCCTAGCAAGCAGACCGATCTTGCCAGTGCCGCCACCTCCCTCAGCTCCGGCTCCTGCTCTGCTAGCCCCAGGCCTATTTTTTCTTCCCTTCTCCTTCCTCCCTAAACAACGCACTCAGATGTTACTGAGATGTAATAAACCACTCTTTCTGGCCTTTCTGGACAAAAGTATGTTTTGTAGGACTCCCATCGAGCTGATTTTTTTTAGGAATTTTATAGAATTTTACCCTGCATTTCCTTCACCAAGTAGATGTTTCTTTTCAGCACAAAAAGGTAATGAGTTCTGAATCTTGCAGGCGCTATAAACCCACGGTGTGTTTTGAGCTCCTTCCCACAATTTCCTGATCTTACTTTGCTTGCAGGAGGTGGTCTCGCTCATTAGGAAGCCCACACAGGAGCAGCATGCCGCTGAAACGTAGTTACAGTTCACTGCAGTAGCAAGCACTTATCCCAGTAATTTCTGGTGCAGGCGAATTAATTTCACAACCCAGTGAAGTCAGGCATTAATATGAAAGTCACAGACTTATCGTCTCTAGAATATACTCATGTTTCCAAGAACAATGTTGGACTCACAAGGGCAGTGACGCAGTATCTCTAAAAAACTCTAATGCCTTTGGAGTTTTTCTTTTGGAAATATATTCTTCCAGCTCCATTCCGTAAAGTTTTAAGTCTTGCTTTTTTTTAGAGAACCTTTCTGGAAAGGAAACAAGTTAAAGAAATATCCCGTTCCTTTTAAGGTATAACAAGATGGTCAAAGAAAGTACTATTTTTACATTTTAGAAAGAACTACATCTTCAGCAGCCAACTACTGTTCTCTGTGGAGCAACCTTGTGATGCCGGGATATTTTAGAAATGCTGTTGCAATGTGCATAGCAGAGCCCTTCCCCAGCAACTGGGTTATAATAATGAAAACTGGCTTCCTTTCCATGGAAATGCCACACGCTAAATTTGTGTTACTAGTACAAAGGCAAGAAGAGCCTATCCTATAACATATTTAGAGAATAAAAGTAATTGATGTATTTAATAGTAATTCATACCATCTGTGTTGCAATTTTCAGATAAGAGAGCTGTTACTGAAAATACAGGACCTAAAGCTGCTCATACTGTTCAGAGATGACATACTTATCTGCTATGATGTAACCCCAAAGGTATGTGTTTGTAAAATAAGCATAGTTCAAAGACTACCTCAGACGTATTTGTATTTAATTAGAATCAGGCAAAATTCCAAAATCTGAACAGAAAAGCTTCATCTCAGCTGTGAGTGTAGGTTAGACTTAGGTGCTTCCCCTCCAACTATTCCTCCGTTGACCAAGCTGTCAACTTGCATGACTGGCTAACTGAAACGAAGCTCCATGAAGCAATTGCCGGAAATGAAATTCAATAGAGCACTGGAAGAAAAAAGATAGCGATGGTGCAAGGCACACAGAAAAGAGAAAAGGGGATCACAGGGGGCAAAATAAAACCTTTGTTTGCCACAAAATTCCATTTTCAGGTTCGGTGTTGTTACAGACAGGGCTTTTGTACGAGGCAGTGTGGTCTGGTCAGCAGAGTCCTGGAACTGGGACTCTGGAAAATTGGTGCCTCTTTTCCCGTTTCCCTACTGCTCTGTTGGTGACTTAGAAGAAGTCACTTAAATATTAATGGCTGCTTTAAAAAACCCTTCACATTAATTCTCACTAGTGAGAGGGACAGGTTGTGGAAGTGGGGGCTGACTGACATGGGATACTTGTTCGGCAAAGACAGAGGCACCAACGCTTGCTAACATTTGCTTTCAAACTGACTGGTATGATAACCTTCTGTGTAACCAAAGCAGCCACGTTAGCACCGCATTTTTATCCTGCATCAAAAGGTGCCTTTGTTTTTGCAGTTCAATACATTCCTATATAAAATTGGGAAAAATAATGTTACTTGATTGTCTGGAGAACTGGAACAACTTGCTCTGATACTGCTTCAATTTTCTAATTGTTTCAGCCAATAAATCAGCATGAATTTACTTTAAGCTGTCATAGATTTTTAAAGAAATAGAATCTTTGGCACCTATTTCTGCAACTTTAATTAAGGTATTTTTCTGAAGTTATAACATGGCTGTTGTGATTGCCCTTTTTTAAAAAAATACCTCTTTTTTGAGATGCCACAAATATTTTAGAATCAGCTTTCTAACTGGGCTAGACTCTTGTATTAGTTCTGATTTAAAAAACCACTTGAATGCATGGTATAACTCATGTTCAAGGTGCATGTACCACTGGACAGTCCCTACTAGTGAAACAGTATATTTGATGTTACACAGATTATCTTAATGCTATATACTATTTAATGCTGTGTACTAGCTGAAGTTTCCTAAGAGATCACCCTTCACACCGCGTAGTCGGAGCTAATGCAGTTCTGCTGAGAAATGACCTACGTTGCAAAAGGGCTACCTGAACTGTGTGAGAGGTCTGTACCGATGGTCGTTATCTGTGAAGGCGGGACATACTCTCTTCACCCTCTGGAGACCAACGTTACTTGTTCGTACTACAGCGGGAGAGAATGGATTTGTAGAGCAAGGAAAATCTGTCAAATTTTTTAAGCCCCTGCCATGGACCTCGCAGCCACCGAAATGACGAGGCTCAAGTATCTACAGTCCATTGGGGTAAGAACGACTGCTTCCCTCTCTCCTGTCCCCATCCACTGGTACCATGAGATCCTAGTATGCCTGGTTTTGTCCCTTGCTTAAAATGTTAGACCTGTGTAAGTCAGTCAAACAAGACTGCATGTGGACTATTACCTGGACACGCACGTGGACCACTTCACTACTAGCCTAAGGGTCTCACTGCGCAATGCTCATTGCACACACCTTCTCTCAAATCTCGGTATTTTGCGGCATCACCCATGCTTCATCAGAACAGCACAGGGAGGTGGCAAGCATGGCACAGAGTAAGTATGGGTACTGAAACCCAGAAAATCCACGATCACCTCCACACGCAATAAAAAAAATGCCTGCTGTTTGCAGATAAAGCAAGTACCAAACAAAAAAGATTTTAAAAAACACGTCTGAGAGAGAAAAAGGAAGAAGGCAAAGGAGGGGGCAGAAATACATGCAAAGTACTTGGAGGAAATAAAGTCAAAAGGAACAGAGGGGAAAAAAAAGATTAAAAAGTCAAACAAAAAGACACTGCAGAATTCTGCTGCTTATGTATATACTCCATCGTGTATCTGAACGCATGAATAATAGGCAACAACCCTTCAGACACCACAACAGCTTTTTACACCACTGCAGGGGCTAGAACGTTAATGTCTCATTATCCAAAATGACTATGGCTACTGTTCAGAAGACAAATTATTTATCTTCCCCCACTGTCGTTCTTCCCCTTACATTGTTCCCTTACATTCCCCAACATCGTTGGTCCCGTAACCAACGTCTCCCCTCCCTCAAAGTCTCCCGAGAGACTTTTCTGATCCCATGGTGCAGGGATTATCATGATTTTTGAAGTACTGCTATGCACCAATGATGACACTATGGAAGTAAGTTGCAATCTATTAAAGTTATCTCTGTTTATATTAATGCCTTATCACTCTACATACAATAGCTCTTTACGTTAATATAGTTCTTTATTATAATGTAGACATTTTCAAAAAATATCAGGAAAAGTTCCTGGAAAGCTGTCAGCAGCTGAGTATTAATGCATATGTATTTTAAAGATATAATACTTACTCGTAAGGATTGTCAGCAGAAATAGGTACTCTGCATAAGATATTAACCCTGAAACAAAAGAGTTAAAAATGACTTGCAAAAAAACTCCCAAAACTTATAGCAAGACTTAAAAGGTCAAATCTTATAAATATAAAAAAATGTCATTTAACATTGTATAAATAGGTTATTAAAGTAAGCCACGTTATTATTTAATAAAGTTTTTACTTCTGTTTTTAGTGCTGTGAAGGTAAAATTCCCTATCCAGAGACTCATCAATGTTCACGTCTAATCAAGAAAGCAAGGTTTATTTGGTATTAATACAAGGCCTACACTAAATCTTTGGATTCTCACTGAAAACATTCAATGTTTATATAAAAGGCAAATAAATTAAATGCGCTTTGTCACATTTAGTACCTGGGAGGAGAACTACTCTAACATTCCCCTGAAGGATCAAAGCCCTCCATCCCTTGGCAGGCCCGCGAAGGCAGGGAACCGCTTCCCGCTCGCTCTCAAGGGGAACATGGCAACACGCAAAGCTGCCAAGCTGCGAGATTGTGCTGATAGTACTGCCGGGCCGCCCGCCAAGAGGAGGCTGATGCTTTTTTTGTTGTTTTTTTTTTTTTTTAAATAGGAACATGTCCTTTCTACAAGGTGAAAGTATTTTCCCCCCTTTTGAAGGAAAATTCCAGTGTTTTCCTTTGAAATACCGCCTTAAGTGAAAAGCCTGAGCAAACACAAAGAGGTGATAGCGTCAATACAGAGCATAAGAGCTAAAGATAGAGAGCGTGCAATGAGGGTGGTTAAACAACAGAATCTGAACCATCTGCCCTGCAATCGTGTTTGGAGAAAAAATGTAAAGGGCTTTTTTATTAATCACTTTTCAAAATAACTGAGCTACTTTTAACTTGTGAGCTAAACATTGTATAATGCTGAAGCTGCTTAAAATAATGAAGTTCAAACATGCCTATCTGTGCAAAGATAAACTATTTTTTAAAATTTATATTTAGTTAATTGATAGATAAGGAATCCACTTAAGCTTCAGTGATAAACAATTAACTTCTGATAAATTACTATGCAGAGCCAACAGCATTTGTATCTGACCTCAGCTAGTGACTTAACACTTTATGTTTTAAGCACCAGAGTTTAGAAATATTAAATTGCTGAATGCAATTTAATGCTGAAAATCCAAGAACAAGTCTTAGCTAAAGACAGGTCCAACGCTGATCCTGCTGCCAACTCACTCTGCCTCCGTATCTCAGCTTTCCTCTCCATCAAAATAGGGCGATTCACCCCATTATCCAGCAGGCATCATGTGTAAATCGGCACAGTACTACAGTCATACAATACACTGTGGAAATAAAAAATACTTTCATCTGAAAGATTTAGTTTTGCTTACAAGTTTTAGGGTTACTGCCATTGCAAGAATGTAAATCATTATTTGTATTGCTGTAAAACTTGGAATCGTGTTCCTAGACAAAGCATCCAGGATTTCTACAAATTCAAAACCAAACCAACAGAGAAAGAACTCCTACCCCATTTTTCTAGCTTATACACCTAAGTATAAGACAAGATGAAAAAATTGATAGAAACAAATAGGGGAGAAAAAGAAATCAAGCAAATAGAATCACAAAATCATAGAATCGTTTAGGTTGGAAAGGATCTTTAAGATCATTAAGTCCAACCGTTAACCTAACGCTGCCAAGTCCACCCCTACACCACATCCCTAAGTACCACGTCTACACGTCTTTTAAAAACCTCCAGGGATGGGGACTCCACTACTTCCCTGGGCAGCCTCTTCCAGTGCTTGACAATCTTTTTGCTGAAGAAATTCTTTCTAATATCCAATCTAAACCTGCCCTGGTGCAACTTGAGGCCGTTTCTTCTCATCCTATTGCTTGTTCCTTGGGAGAAGAGACCAAACCCCACCTGGCTACCCCCTCCTTTCAGGTTCATTGTAGAGAGCGATCAGGTCTCCCCTCAGCCTCCTCTTCTCCAGACCAAACACCCCCAGCTCCCTCAGCCGCTCCCCACCAGACTTGTGCTCCAGACCCTTCCCCACCTTTGTTGCCCTTCTCTGGACTCGCTCCAGCCCCTCAAGGTCTTTCTTGTAGTGAGGGGCCCAGAACTGAACACAGCACTCGAGGTGCAGCCTCACCAGTGCCGAGTACAGGGGGACGATCCCTGCCCTGGTCCTGCTGGCCACACCATTGCTGATACAAGCCAGGATGTTGTTGGCCTTCTTGGCCACCTGGGCACACTGCTGGCTCATGTTCAGCCGGCTGTCGACCAACACCCCCAGTCCTTTTCTGCCAGGCAGCTTTCAAGTCACTCATCCCCAAGTCTGTCGTGTTGCATGGGGTTGTTGTGACCCAAGTGCAGGACGCGGCCCTGAGCCTTGTTGAACATCATACCATTGGCCTTGGCCCATTGACCCAGCCTGTCCAGACCCCTCTGTAGAGCCTTCCTACCCTCCAGCAGATCAACACTCTCACCCAGCTTGGTGTTGTCTCAAGGTGCACTTGATCCCCTTGTCCAGATCACTGATAAAGATGTTAAATAGAACTGTCCCCAGTACTGAGCCCTGGGGAACACCACTTGTGACTGGCTACCAATGGGCTTTAACTCCATTCACCACCACTCTTTGGGCCCGGTCATCCAGTCAGTTTTTTAATGCAGCGAAGCGTACGCCCATCAAAGCCATGAGCAGTCAGTTTCTCCAGGAGAATGTTGTGGGAAACGGTGTCAAAGGCTTTACTAAAGTCTAGGTAGATGACACATCCACAGCCTTTCCCTCATCCACTAAGCAAGTCACCTTGTCACAGAAGGAGATCAGGTCAGTCAAGCAGGACCTGCCTTTCATAAACCCATGCTGACTGGGCCTGACCACCTGGTTGTCCTGTATGTGTTGTGTGATGGCACTCAAGAAGATCTGCTCCATAACCTTCCCCGGCACTGAGGTCAGGCTGACAGGCCTGTCGTTCCATGGATCCTCCTTCTAGCTCTTCTTGTAGATAGGACTCACACTGGTTAGCCTCCAGTCGTCTGGGACCTCACCGGTTAGCCAGGACTGCTGGTAGATGATGGAAAGGGGCTCGGTGAGCATTTCTGCCAGCTCCCTCAGCACCCTTGGGTGGGTCCCATCCGGCCCCACAGACTTGTGTGTGTCCAAGTGGTGTAGCAGGGCGCTGACCTTTTCCCCTTGGATTATGGGGGCTTCATTCTGCTCCCCGTCCCTGTCTTCCAGCTCAAGGGGCTGGGTACCCAGAGAACAACTGGTCTTACTGTTAAAGTCTGAGACAAAGAAGGCATTGAGTACCTCAGCCTTTTCCTCATCCTTCGTCACTATGTTGCCCCCATGTTCAATGAACGATGGAGATTCTCCTTAGCCCTCCTTTTGTTGCTAATGTATTTATAGAAGCATTTTTAATTGTCTTTTACAGCAGTAGCCAGGTTAAGTTCTAATTGGGCTTTGGCCCTTCTGATTTTCTCCCTGCATAACCTCACGACATCCTTGTAGTGTGATGGGCAGTGATCAAGATTCCTGCTCCCTAATTTTGTTTTGTGTGTGACACAGCAAAACAATGTTTAAAAGGAAGAATATAAAGGAAGACAAAGAGGTAACTTTTCAAGTCCATATAGAAAACATCTCCCAGTCATGGACTGCATTGGTATCAGCACCAAGATCCCTGCCTGAAACTTTAACCAGCAAGCGATGAAGACCAGTGTCACTGACCAAGGAGAAGTGGGAGTCTGCCTCTCGGCTGTCTTGAGATGTGCTGCACAGGGATAGGCTAAGGAAGACCTGGAAGGTGAAGACAAGCAGCTTATGCTCAATAAAACAGTACAAGGAGAGCCCAGCGTTGGGTTACAAAAGAAGTGATGAGACACTCAAGAGAGTCATGTAAGAAAAACGTATTTATCAAAGCATTTGAAAGGATATTACATGGCAGATTATGTTTGTTAAAGTCAGAGAAAAAAAAAAGTCAGCATATTTGAGATACAAAATGCTGAGTGCCTGGAGAGTTTTAGCTGTATGGGTAGACAGGGAACATTGTACCTTATAAAATTTTACAGAAAGAATTGGCAAAATTTACATGGAGATGGTAGGATGTAAAGAAAAGACCAATTTAAAGACAACACCCGGCTTACTGGCTCAAGGGAGAAGCATGATGGCTCTATTCGCTCCAACCGCAGTGGGCTGGAAAGAGCCTTGCAAGAAATGGCAGGGGCGAGACACAGACTCTGTTTTCATCATCTTATTGTAAGCTGATCAAGAAGTCGCTATAGTGAAATAGGTAAAAAGGCAAATATAATAAAAAGATGTAAAAAAAATTCTTGATTGTTCTTTAAAACCTGTCTCCGCGCCTTAAAGCAAATCCACAGTCTGTTTGACATTTTATGGCAGATTGATTACACTATAATCACTTGAGACAAGATTTTTTTAACTTGCAGACTTATTTCCATAAAAAGTCTTCTTTTAATTTTATTGTCCTTTTACTACCTGTAGTGAATGGCCAATTTACCTTGTCCATAAAGTAAATTAAATACTTTGGTAATTTTCTTTATTCTACATTAATCATTTCAAAGCTACTCAAATTAAAAGAAGCCATGCAACAAATTAAAAAAAAAAACACACACAGAAAATTATAGTCGTGTCCAAGAATATTTAAAAGATAAATGCTTCACATACTGTTGTGTGACTCAGCATACTCGCAGCCAAGTATTTGCAGTTAGCATTGGCATTCTAACACTAAATGAACCTTCCCTATCCCTCCCTGGAAATCTCTACCCTCAAACTTTATAGCAAATGCTGACAGTACAATATTCTTATTGCTGAATAAATCACAAGCATACCCCCGAAGTATGAGATGAATTTTAAAACTGCCCACTAGAAGGCAGAATTCCCCAACCTTACGTTTTACCAACTGGACTGATGACAGTCTTCCCTCTACTTGATATTTCAATAACAATTTGAGGGTAGTTAAAATAATCTCAGCTAAACAGTGGAATAGGTGTAGATTCATTATTCTGGTACTTGTAAAAGCAGTATTTAATACACAAATATTTACATTTTATATACCTAATAATGATGCATCTCAAAGCAAAAGCATCAAAGTCACTAAAGAGGCATCATGACCAAAATCTGTAAAAACTCCGTGTGCGGTGGAGACATATGGATGGCTGCACTGGATGCTCTTGCATCATCTCAAACTCCTACCTGACCTTTGAAGGACGGAGTACATGGACCCACAGTCCTAAGCAAGGGGAGATCAATGCCTTGTCCCAAATGCAGAAGACGTCAGGTTGAGCTATCACCGAGCCTGCTTTCTGCCAAGCAGTCAGCTGGGAGAGGGGAATAAAAGCAGGCTGCGGTGATTTGCTACGTTTTCACTTTTTGCTGGTGGATTCCTGGTTTTCCCAGGCAGAGTGCTTTGGGGATTTGCAGTGTCAACCACTAGGAAAAGAAAGGCTCTAAAAAAGCAGGGACAGAGAAAGGATATCCAAGAATTAAAGACTGGGAATCCTTCAAACCCAAGGCTGGCAAAGCGCATGATGATTAGCAATTCGAAGAGGCAGGGAATGACTATTCAATGCAAAATCCAGCCTTCTCTAGGATAGGAAAAAAATCGTTCACCTTGTTCAGACATGTTTCAGGGCTGTTGGGGTATGCTGGGGCTTTCAGGAGTGGACTGACAAGCAAGGCACCCAGCTGAAGACCCTTCCACATCTGCACAAGGACGCAAGAAATGAACCGCAGGCAAGAAGAGGCCATGAGGCCAAAGGACAGGCGAAACGCTGCAGGCTGAGGTCACGGGCGGCTTCTTGGCACAAGGTGCCAGCCATGCCTGGGGATCCGCTGTGCCTGCAGAGAGCGTGGCTCATGCCTGCCAAGGAGCTGCAGCAGTGCAAAGGCAGCCTTATTTTCCAGAAACGTCCAGGGGATAAGGGATTCAGGCTGAACTCTACGATACAGAAAGTTTGTGAATAGATGCTGTCAGTCTTTCTCATTAGTTTGGGAATTTCAGCCTTTGTTACTGGTGAAATGGTTAATTACTCATCTATTTGGTTTCCTTGATCCTCTTGTTTGTTTTCTCCCTTCAATTAATTTATGCTAATGAGGTGTTTATTTGGCATTCTTTAATTCCCTGTTCTTATACAAACAATATCCCAGCTCTCAGAGTTTTCTCTTTATGTAGCCCGATATAAGGTGGAAATGCTGGGGGAGAAGACATGGAAGCCAATCTGTGCTGTGGAGGGTCACTGAGCTCCTGACGAGGGAGAAATAAGGTCAACTCCTCTTGGAATCAGGGATGCCACTTTACATGACTAGATACAAATTTTATTTTTATTCTTAAGTTTCCATGCATTTAAGTTATATAGTGAAACAGTAGTTTATTAACAAATCTTAAAAGTCCATTTTGTGCTGGAGTCATCCCTTTAGCCTCTTTCTCTTCTCCAAGTAGGTTTTCTGACTTCTTTCACATCTCCTCCTGTGCTTCAGAAGGCTTCCTGCTCCCAGCCCTGCCTTGTTCCCCTCTCTTGCATAACTGAGCGATTTGCCAAGGAGGCAGCTACTGGCTACAGGGGATGAAGTCAAACCCTTGAAACCTTAAAAAATATATTCAATTCATACCATATAATGAGATAAAAAGCCAGATGTGCTTTTCAGTATCAAAAGTGCTCATTACCTTTATCGCCGAGCTCTCTAAAAAAGGTTGGTTGGTTAGAGGGGATGAAGTCAAATCCTTGAAACCTTCTTAAAAAATATATTCAATTCATACCGTATAATGAGATAAAAACCCAGATGTGCTTTTCAGTATCAAAAGTGCTCATTACCTTTATCGCCGAGCTCTCTAAAAAAGGTTGGTCCTGGTTTAGCTTTGGCAACACACAGCAGTTCAGCATCTACCTCCTTTAAAGACACAAACAAGAAAACGTAAAGCCAGTTTTGAAAGAGAAGTCTATTTAGTTCAGTAACAAAAAGAACGCAAGTTCTTTTGAAGAAGGAAAGGAACATTTTGCTTACCTTTTTTGTCAGTTTCTTGGCTGGAGGCTTTACCTATAATAAAAAAAAAAAAATCATCATCGTTCAATAACAAACTGACTTCAAACTTTGATCAGGTTCTGTGGCACTTCTTCAGATTTTTATGGTAAAATGCTCAGTAATATGAAACAGAATGTTTTGCAACAGGCAGTTTGTTTCTAGTTCTCACAATGATCAAGAAAGGACAACATTTAAAAATAATACGAGCAGTCTGTTCAAATGCTCTTGCAACCTAGATGAAACCACAGCCCACTTTGGTATCTATGACTGATTTTGCATAGTGTGAGCTACGGACTCCTAAGCGAGACTATACAGTAAGAAACACCTGTAGTATTTACAAAGGGATTTGCATGCACACATAATAATCCTTCAGGTGCATGCTGAGTATGCAAAAGCTACGAAATACTAAAAAAGAGAAAAAAGAATGAAAATGTTGATGTTTCTATTAAGCAGAAATAAACCGAACAACTCTGCCTCCTGAAACAGCATCAGATGAAACCACGCAAACTCCGAAGTGTTTATCAGTAGGTTCAAGTGCGCACACCCGAACCGGGGAGCCACTGGCACTGCAGCAGTATCGGCTGGGTTGCTCTGTATATACACCACGTC